CCCCCCCCCCCCGGCGCCGCCAATCAACGTAGTGGGAATTTTTAAAAAAGCCTGATCTAGGTCTACAAAATGTATCAATGCACCTCTAATACATTGGTCTGATATTGGATTGGTACCGTTTTTTATAAAGAAAATTGTCTGTACAGGTTTCCCTCGTCAACCATGGTTTTGAGTATCCACGCTTCAGAGAAAAGGGGGGTACAGTCTGAAAATGCCCCCCACGGTCCCCCTGGCCCTACTTATGCCTCTCACACTTCCTCTGCTCCCCTGGCCCTGCCAGTTTGCCAACCATGGGAACTTTCAGGAACCTAACCCGCATGGCTGGTGAGGGAAACCTGTATTGGAAATTGGCCCAATGGAGCCGATAATTTGGCTTATAAATGCTCATGCGTGCACACAGCCACAGTACAGCATGCAGGCAGTGAGGAGCAGAGCCCGGCAGCGTGGAGAGCTCCCTCCTGGGAAGTCAGTTGTGGTGGAAGGGGTGTGGGGGCAGGGGGGAAGGTAGATCAACACCACCCCCTGCCCCCAATGAGAGAGGGGGCAGGAGCAGGTGCTGCCCAGCCAGGGTAGGGCAGGGTGCTCGGTGGGTGCTCAGTGGCTCCCACTGCTGCTTGTACCCTGGGAGGGCATGGGGGTGGGGGGCATGTGCCCCTGGATCTCCGCGGGGCAGGCAGGCTGCCGCTGTGGGCTGGAGCTGGGGCTGTGCCTGGCTTTTCTTGCTAAGGGCTGGGCTCAGAGGGGGCTGCAGCCACCCCAGATTTCACCATAGCTCCCTCCCAGCGCTGCCGCCACCTGCCTGCCCAGTGCATTGCGGGAGGCAGGGGCTGAGCTGGGAAGAGCCAGGGGTGGAGCAGGTGGCAGCGCTGAGAGGGAGCTATGGTGAAATCAGCTGACATCTACAGGGCTTGCTTGATGTGGGTCCTTACTGGATCCTTGCCAGCATCTGCCAGGGTTCCCTTTAGTCTCGTGTCTGTGTCCTCTGTCTTTTGCTTCTGGGAGACGGCCCACTCTTCTGTTTTTTCAGATCCCCTCTCTTGAGGGCTCATTCTCCTTAGGAAGGAATTCCCAATTGCATAAACTTGTTACTTCATCGTGCTTATGTCTTGGTAGCCTCTTTTCTTTTGCTGCTTCCTCAGTACAGATCTTGTCTTTTTGTTCAATAGTATTTGTAGCAAATGTTCAGTTCCTGACAGTTGAAATATGTGCAAAAATAAGGTAAATATCAATATGATATAAGAATTATGCTCAGTGCATGCAAATGATCATGTTGATAGTGGTGTAGAAAGGGAGGTGATAAGTTGCATGTATTATTATGCATTTAAACTTTTTAAACTGTTTTAAACTTTGGATTTTGTATGTAAAGGCATTTTATGTTTCAAAGCTATAATCCATTTATTCCAGAAACTGGACTAAGTATGCCTAGTGATACTTCGCTCTCTCCAGCAAGTCAGAACTCTCCATATTGCATGACTCCAGTATCACAAGGCTCCCCTGCTAGTTCGGGGATAGGTAGTCCCATGGCATCTTCAGCAATAACGAAAATTCACAGCAAAAGATTCAGAGAGTAAGCACTTCCTATAAGTTACCTTGTACCCAATGCAAACATGCATTTATTCCTGACACTTGTTCTTACTTGCTTGTCACAGGATAAATTATAATTTTGAGGAGCTTCTTTCAAGGAGGGTGGCAGTTGAACTTCAGTGCTGTTGAATTACCTGTAACCAACATACCAATGCCTTTCCTATTGATTTATATCAAGAAATAATCAATTGTGCCATTAATTTTATTTTCTCTTGCTTCATATTTGGGGCAGGTAGTATTCTGACTGAATACAATTCATTATTATTATATTTGAAAAATCTTTACATCTTTCCAGGTATACACTTTATTTTCCTAAATAAAAATGCATTTATAAACTAAGTAACACACATCAAGGAAGTAAAATGTTTTAGTAAACTTTTCTTTCTAAGAAAAAAATATATGGCAGTGAACTAGTGTTGTGTGCACTATGTGCTAAAACATGATGTTTTCTGAATTGACAGATATTGCAATCAAGTCCTAAGTAAAGAAATAGATGAATGTGTAACTCTGCTATTGCAAGAGCTTGTCAGCTTCCAGGAACGAATTTACCAAAAGGATCCAATGAGAGCTAAAGCAAGGAGAAGGCTTGTTATGGGTCTGCGGGAAGTTACTAAGCATATGAAGTTAAACAAGATCAAATGTGTGATAATTTCTCCAAACTGTGAAAAAATCCAATCAAAAGGTATGTGAGCTTTTGATGAAACAATTGAATTTTTAATTGGTGTGTGTATGTTGCATTTTCCCCAGTGTCACCCTACCGGTATCTTTTATTAAAACCTTTGTTGTCTCAGGGAATGACCTCTTACCTCTCCTTCGTAAAATGAGTTCATATTGCTCTGCCCTTTATTTCTTCTGTTATGACTACAAGAAAGTAGTCCATGTTGTATAGTTTACATGGAAATCTAGCATGACTGTATCTAACCTTTAACAGCATTAGCTTACATCAGAGGTGTCAAAAATATGGGCCTCATCTGGACTGCAGAGCCCCATCATCTGGCCCCTGCTGCTGGCTCTGGGTCTTGAGCTGACCCTCAAACTACATACAGTGCGTGCTGGACTGCTGAAGCATGTGCCTGCTTTGGAACCTGTGCTGCATGCAGCACCCACACAGGGCTAGTCTGAGATTGCTGCATGCCCCCACTCCAGCTGGTCTGGGACACAAGCTGCACACAGCATCCATTCCAGTCATTCAGGGCAGGTGCCACACCAGGTCCCAGAGTTGCGGGTTCTAGCGGTGAGATCCTGTGAGCCCACTCCCTCTTGTATGATGGATCCAGTGCCTACAATGGCCAGTCTGTGAGTGTCACATGTGATACCTGCTCCAGTCAGGAGCATGGTCCTGGACTGGCGAGAGCAAGTGCTGTGGGTGCTGATTGTGGCATGTTGAGGATGAAGGTGGGGCTCAATCCAGACTGTGGGATTGCCTCTGCCCTGTTCCCACAGCCCATGGATTGGTCATGCACCATTCATTTGGCCCATGGGGCCAAAGGAGTTTGACACCCTGACTTATATTTAAAAAAAAAAAAAAGGAAAGAAAGAAAAATGATATTTTGATTGTAGTCCTCTTCAGTCATTTTCATATTAGTTGTCTAAAGTGTTTTCACCAGGAATTGTGCTTGTCTGTGTTTACCTCTCATGTCCAGTGTATTTTGGCCATCACCACAAAGCAAATGATTTCCTGAGAACATGGAAGAGGAAGGAAAGTTCTGTTGAATCACAGAGAGCTCCTTCTGAGAGTGCCTGCAGCGATATTGCTGTTGGCCCACAGAGTTGGGTATAGAACATGCCCAGGTATACAGATTAGTGGCTATGTACACTAAAGTACTGCTTGTTCTGTTGGAGTACAAGACTCATCTAATTTAATTTTTTTGAACACTGTCTTCACAGCATTACTACTTGTACAAAGATATTTGTTTGCTGATTTTTCTTTTTCCCTCTCCCTTCCCCCACCCCTCCAGCAAGTGGTTTAAATTAAACAACTTGTGGTTGTATATACTGAAGTTTTTAGCTGTTTAAGATGTGCACACATTATGGGATGCAGAATTGAATCCAAATGTATCATTACTGATAATTATTCTGCACTTCAGCTTTCAATGTGTTTTTCTCCTAAGGTGGATTGGATGAAGCTCTGTATAATGTAATAGCCATGGCACGGGAGCAGGAAATTCCTTTTGTCTTTGCCCTTGGACGCAAAGCTCTTGGTCGTTGTGTGAACAAGTTAGTTCCTGTTAGTGTGGTGGGAATCTTCAACTATTCAGGTGCTGAGGTAGGTGATTTATGTCTGCAGAATGGCTGAAATAGTGAATATCCTTTTCTATTTCTTTCATATGATGTATGTGAGCAAAACTTTATTGTTCTTGAGCTTGCAAAATCTCTGTAGTAAATATGCAGGGTATTGACTAACAGGCTGCAGAGGCCAATTTCACATTGACCAATGTTCAAAACTGTATATTTGCAGAACTGATAGGCCAGTGCATGTTCATTTAATGTTAGATTTGCTGTCCCCCCTCCTTTCTCTTAGAGAAAAATATTTGGACCAGACTTGCAGACCCTTTGAAGGGGATCACTGGTAGTGAGGAAATCTAGCAGGGCCCTAACACTCCTTTTCCTTGCATCACAGGATTATCTCTTGCTTCATTTGGCAAGAAATTATGTTGGGGGTAGTGTGCTGACTTACTGAATGTGACCTGTGCTTGCAGCATGTTGTCTTAGTTTGTGACGTAACCAATCCTGTCCTCCACATAGACAGTAGGTGCAGTCTGTACTAAAACTTGTGTGGATTTGATTGATTTTATTTATTTAAATTTTATTTGGGGCAAAGGGAGTTGGATTTCTCAAGCAAATCCCGGGACGTCATTCTCCCCTTGTACTCGGCCTTAGTGAGGCTGCAGCTGGAGTACTGCGTCCAGTTTTGGGCTCCACAATTCAAAAAGGATGTGGAGAAGCTAGAGAGAGTCCAGAGAAGAGCCACGCGCATGATCAGAGGTCAGGGAAGCAGACCCTACGATGACAGGCTGAGAGCCCTGGGGCTCTTTAGCCTGGAAAAGGGCAGGCTCAGGGGTGATCTGATGGCCACCTACAAGTTTATCAGGGGTGACCACCAGTATCTGGGGGAACGTTTGTTCACCAGAGCGCCCCAAGGGATGACGACTAGGTCAAATGGTCATAAACTACTACAAGACCGTTTCAGGCTGGACATAAGGAAGAATTTCTTTACTGTCTGAGCCCCCAAGGTCTGGAACAGCCTGCCACCGGAGGTGGTTCAAGCGCCCACATTGAACACCTTCAAGAGCAAACTGGATGCTCATCTTGCTGGGATCCTATGAACCCAGCTGACTTCCTGCCCTTTGGGCGGGGGGCTGGACTCGATGATCTTCCGAGGTCCCTTCCAGCCCTAATGTCTATGGGGAAAAAAAAAATCTATGAGAAAAGCTGTTTTATGTAAATAATATATGTATTGCATCATCAGAATACTTATTTGTCAGCACTAAGTAGTAGGGGTGTAATTCAGATTTGGCCCGAATCGGGGACAGTGATTCAATTCATTGACTCAGATCATTGTCCCTGATTCGATTTGGCCAAATCTGAAGATTTGATGTTGATTCGGAGAATCAGTGAGATAGACGCAACTTTAAATGTTTTTTTTTTTTCTACATGCCTAGAGGTAGCAGTGTGGCTTTTGAATGCTGCGATGCTGGGGTGGATGGAGAATCCCATAGGAGTGCAGAGGGGCCCTCCACGTGCTTGGCAGCGAACCCAGAAATGGACCGGAAGTATTTCTGGTCCACTTCCGGGTCCACCAGGGAGTTTGGTGATTGGCCATGGGGGGACCCTGGGTACCATCACCCCCTAGACCCAGGAGACACTAGTCACCAAGTCAGGGGGACACGGCGGGGCCTGCTTACTCTCCAGCAGACCCGGAAGTGCTTCTGGTCCACTTTGGAGTCTGCTGCCAAGTGCGCAGGAGAGCCCCCTGCACTTTTGTGGGACACTCTGTGCAACCCAGCATCACAGCACTTACGAGCCCCTGCTACCTAGAGGTATGTAGAAAAAACACTTAAAGCTGTGTCTATGTCCAAATCTTTCCGAATTGATTCAGAGAGATTTAAAGGGTCTCCTGATTCGATTCAGATATTCGGCCACCAAATCGGGCTGAATTGAATTGGGGACCGAAGCTTCACACAGCCCTATTAAGTAGGTGTATGCATTATCCAGAATGGAAGCTTGCAGTTCCAAGGGAAATGTAGCCAAGCTGCTGCCTGACTGGCTAGGGCTACCATTCTTTTGTCTCTCCTGAAACATATATTACTGAAATCGGCAACCTACTTGAATTCCTTGAACATGCAAAATAAGAACATTTCTTATTCTGGTCTACAAGATGTTCTGCAAATCCATTGCCCAGGCTGAAGGCTTGACTGTTGGCTCTCCACATCTAGATGTGTCATAACACAATGCATTCAAAATATTTTTGGAGATCAGCTTATTAGTGAAACCATAGATGCAAAATATAAACTACACCAGTTATAAGTTGTTTTTTTTCCAGTGTCTTCCTACCATTTGGAATGGATTGATGGCATTTTTCCTGAAAGCTTGTAAATAATCAGTATTCTAACTTTTGCTGCCTACTCTAGTGTCATCTAAAACTATCCCAGTGGAAAGAAAAAATTGGAAAATGTGAGAGTAACTTTAACAGAAACGACTGCTTTTCATAGTTAGGTCTTGAGAAATGAAAATACTTTTTGTAAATAACTAATAAATAGAAATATGCTTTTATATTTAGGACTTATTCAATAAGTTGGTATCACTGACTGAGGAGGCCAGAAAGGCTTACAGAGATATGGTTGCAGCCATGGAACAGGAACAGGCAGAAGAGGCCCTAAGAAATGTTAAGAAGGCACCTCATCACATGGGACATTCTCGTAACCCTTCTGCAGCAAGTGCTATCTCATTCTGTAGTGTTATCTCAGAACCCATATCTGAAGTGAATGAGAAGGAGTACGGTAAGTGGGAAGGCTTATGGAAGGAACATGGTAATTTATATTTCCATAACCAAAATGTAGGACTTGCCAAATTATTCTTACGTTAGCATTAAGCCATATATACATTTAAAAACAAATGAAATAAAATATTATACAAGTTCTGGAGGGTGATCCCAAATTGGTCAAGCTTCTAAGTAGCCAGGGCAAGCTTCTGGGGAATTCTTCCTGAAATGCATGAGAATAATGTTTTTAGTCCTACTTCAGAGCTGTGGTCTAACTTCCTAATACTGCTTCAATGCAAAGCAGTTCAGAAAAGCAACAGGAGGATCTGCTTCCAAGTAGAAGAATTCTCCCATAGCCTTGAGTTTATATAAGAAGACACAGCCTTGAACACCTATAAAGGGGTCATGTAACTGAGGAAGAACAAGAGGCAGGAAAGAGCCAAGGTAGACAGAAACATTTAAAGCTGATGCTGAAGGGAAGTTGGCAAAGTGTCCTGGAGGGTGGCCATGACCTGAGCAATAATCAAACTTGATTTATGAGTCAGCTCGTTTAAGCGCAATGCATAAGAGGGGGGTGGGGGTGGGATTGCACCAATCTTGCAATTCGAGCATAAAATAGTTGTGTGGTCAAGGACAAATCGGTAGTATAAATTGCCATGTCCCTGAGCCAGCCCTTCTCTTAATTAAGTTTCTGTCTTGATTGCTGTAACATGGATTTTTGCATTTGGTTTTTCTACTTTAATATCTGAATTCTGAATCAGTATTTGTTTCCCAGCAAGATGATGCTTTAATACTATTTTGGCAACTTCCTTTTGGATTGTTAGTGGGAAAATCTTTGTATTCTTTTGCCTGCACACCTCAACCTTTGCTTTTTCCAGCTTTCTTGTTTGTAGGTCCGAAGCAAGTATAGCACCTCTTTTTTGGGTTTCAGAATGGGTTATAGAACCCGTCTTAAATAAGTTTCTGTAATCATTCCAACTCTCTTTTTTTCAAATTTGTTTTTTTCTCTACATAAGTTTCTGACCAGTTTACTGTCATTCAGTACCTCTCTTAATTCTTGACTTGTATTACTTACTAGTGCTGTCACACTTGTATGCAAGTGTATTTATACGAGTTGATGCATGAACTGCCATATTACCTCACAAGTTTCTTAAACAAGTTCTCTAGGGTTGTTGTGATTGTTTAAAAAAAATATCTCAAAGTAAATGTCAATTTTCTGATAAACTGTTATCTTGACATTTTCAGAAACAAACTGGAGAAGCATGGTGGAAACATCTGATGGGCTAGAAACTTCTGAAAATGAGAGGGAGTCCTCATGTAAGGCTACAGTTCCAGAAAAATCTGTTAGTGCTCCAAATGAAAAAGCCACTGTTAATAAACAGTTGCCTCTAGCTACAATAGGGACTACCTCAACTGTGAATCATGGAAAAACCATGGTAAGTGACAAAGAAGAGGTGAAGCCAGATGACAATCTGGAGTGGGCCTCGCAACAGAGCACCGAGACAGGATCTTTGGATGGCAGCTGCAGGGATCTTTTGAATTCCTCCATGACCAGCACCACGAGTACTCTTGTACCAGGAATGCTTGAAGAGGAGGAGGATGAGGAGGAGGAGGAAGATGAAGATTATACCCATGAACCTATTTCTGTAGAGGTTCAGCTTAATAGCAGAATTGAATCTTGGGTCTCAGAGACCCAAAGAACTATGGAAACCCTTCAGCTTGGGAAAACCCTTAGTGGTGCAGAGGAAGATAATACAGAACAAAGTGAAGAGGAAGAGATAGAAACTCCCGAGCAGGTAGATGCAGTAATTGATGGTGAGGAATGGACAGCAGATAAGCACACAAGTAATGTCCAACATAAACCCACCATCTGCAGTTCTCTGAATAAAGAAAACACTGATTCCAACTTTATGCCGTAAAGTAAGCACAAACTCAGGAACTTTTAAAAAAATTATATTAAAACTGTTGTAAGGTTGCAGCCATTACTTTGTATGCTTCATCTCAACGTTTTGCACTGTTAAACATTTAATATGCGTATTTAATTCACAACAGATATTTTTGTAGCTGTCTTTGTTACTTGTTTCATTAAAAAAAGACAAAACTGTAACTTAGCTTTTAATCAGGATCTGTAGCTCCCAGAAATGAAATGATCTGTGTAAAATTTCAGTTTATAGGTATTCATTTGAGCCTTGTTTTGTAAAAGGAAAATACTTATAAATGACCAATTTTAAACAAAATTCTTTTAAAATGTGCTGCTTCAACTCATTCTGAAAACATCCACATTTTAAGACTGGCAAAAATGACCACCATTTCTAGTCATTTTAAACCATTTGGCCATAATTTTCTAATAATACCAGGAAAAAAAAGATGTTTTGCTTCTCTTGAAAGAAAAGCTGAAAGCCCCCACTTTCACTCAAAAGAGAGTAAATTTATAAGGAAATGTATGCATGATTTTTATGCCAAAATAGATGCAGCATTTTACTTGGTTTGTGAGGGTGTGTGTGTGTTGAAAGCTGCTGACTTTGTGCTGAGATTGGTCACAATAAGCTTGAAATAACTTTTGATATCAGAATAATTCCAACCACAATGGCAAAATAATTATAGATAATGTATTTATTTGTTTGCAAATGTCGGGCTGTAAAAAGTCACTGTGTCTATAGAGCCACAGCTTGGGGAACCATTAACTATGACCACCATCCATGTTGTTCTTAGAAACTTACTGCTTCCTTCTCTTTTTCACTTACCTCAGAATTGCTGATGTGCATAATTTAATTTTAAAAAATCCAGACAGAAGTTTAAATATTTAACAGTGACCGATCTAGTGGCTCAGTGTATTGATGGTGTTCACTTGCATGCTCTCTTCCTGGGCACTTCTTGTATTGTGTTCAGGATCAATCTTTGAATTAAATTTTCTCATTGAAAATGTGAACTTCTGTTCCTCAGTTGTAGCAGCTTAAGCATTGACCTCCAGAGTAGTAAAGAAAGTAGTGGTTATATGAAAGGGGAAGTGCCCTGAAGTACTGAGAAGTGTTTCAGTGGTTTGGAAATTGGGAGTTAAAATGAATGTTACTATAGACTTGTTCCATGTTTGTCCCTAGCGTTGAAATTTAAATCTATCTGATGAATGAATTTGCTTCTGATTTGAGGATGGAGTCCGTGTCCAAACCTTGCCTGCAATGAGTCTGAATTTTCCAACTTTAGTACTGGGTATAGAGGTCCTGAAGCTGTCAGTACCAAGGATTTTGCTGCAAGAGTAGCCAAAGAGTAGCTTGCATGAATAGTGACTTTTCTGGGGGGGAAGGGGCTTGGTGGATCTCATAGGTATGTTTTAGTGCTACATAACTGTTCTAGACCACTTGCATTTTAAAAAAGGAGGCATTGGAAACTTTCAATGGCACAATACAATTTGATCTTTTTAGTTGCACATAAAGTTTGTTTAATGATTTTGGGACCAGCACTTCTAATATTTGCAATACTGGCAATTTATTTTTGCTGGAAAAATCAGACTCTGGGTTTAGGGATAATATAGTCCTCTCATGCTAACAAGCATAGTAGAAATTAAAGTATTATGCGTCTAATGTAGACATAGCAAATGCTATATGGGAAAGTGTTGAAAAGAGCTGCTGGTACAACTGGCCGTCTGTTCTGTCATGTTCTTAGTTCCTTAATATAATATTCCTAGATACTAGAACAAGCACTGTATAGAAATACAAAAGGGTAAGGAATGATGCCTCCTTATTAACTCCCAACTATTTGTATGGCAGATTTTACTGTCTGTATATTTTTGAAAAGTTTCTTTGCCTTAGGAAATGATAGGGTTTTGAACTGCTGACAGAGTCAAAACTTGCTCATGGACACAGCTCCCAGTCACACCAACTCTGATCATGGGTGCACATCAAGGACAGAATTTGACCAAAACTTTATTTTAAAAAAACAAACCACTTGTACATTTCCTTTTGTTTATTCAGTGCCAGTGATTCAAATAACTCTTAATCTTGAGGTAATATAATTACAAATTTTTATATGTCTCTTCTGAATTTTGACTGTCATTTTAAACTGTTGGCATTTGTATCAAACAGTAACGGCTCTTGTAATCTTCAGACCATTATATAATTGTTATTTTGCTACAGGTTTCCTAAATAATACTGAGTTCCTAAAGGTGATTGCAGCACTTCTGGTACCCCTCAGTTGGCCAGTAGATGAGGAACCTAGTCAAGTTTGACAGATCACCTTTAGAAGGGCAAACCAAAAATGAGTGAAGGAAACCACTTAGCATTGTTTCCTTTTTTGATGGCTAGGAATGAGCAATAACAGAGAGGAAGGACAGTGCCTCTGGGATGAGGTCTATTTACACCTAAAACTAGGGAAGTATCTTGCAATGTTGAGCACTTGAGAGGAATAACTCATTGTGGTAATCTTGATTCTCTCCATAGCGGAAATAGCCTAACAGTGTTTCATAACTTTCTGATGGGCTGTTTTGTACAGTACCATGGTTTGTTTTTTTTAAGATAGCTGGATTTCTATATCAATGTAAAAGTATACAGTTTGTTATACTGGTTGTTACACTCCCAAAAACTGGTGTTTCTGAAGTTATAGATGTAAAGATGTTGGGGTTTTTTTTCTTTGTGAAGATGATTATCCAGAAAACAAGTATTTAACTTTTCTTAAGATGTTCTTATAGGTCTTGATTTCACTAGGTTTAATGCATCTGGCAAAACATTAGAAATAATATGTAATGTGTGGTAGGGTGTCTGGTTCAAGTTGATGGGGTGGTTATGTATAAAATGTATTTAACATTTCCAGTATCTGTGGAAAAATAATCAAACGTAGATAAAATTGGACATAAAGGAGAAAATCCTGAGGAATTTGTCCTTATTCAGAGGAATTTTGTTTTCTTAGTTTGTCTGAATAAGGTTGTAGGACTGAATCCTGTAAACACATGCCTACTTGACTTTTTAGGAACATTTGTCCTGTTGGCTTTAATAGATTTTATTTGCATGTTTAACTAAGCACCTGTCTAAGTGCAAGCAAGCTTGAAGCTAAGCAGTGACTGAAGGTTTGAGGCCCATATTTTTTTAATGAAAATGACAAACTCTTCTACAATGATGCACTTGTCTGATTTCTTAAAATAAAGGTGAGATATGTTTAATACTCAATTGGGTGGAGGTTTATACAGCGTTATTCAGTCCAGTTCCTTAACACAAAGCTTAAATTTGATTAACATTACTTTAAATATGTATGCAAAAAGTATTATCGTTTGAAAAGCTGCTGTTTGCTAAAACTGTCATTAAGTATTTTCTGTGAAGTTGTGCCAACTAATCAAAATATTCAGTTGATTTCAATATTTTTAAAAAATTCAGTAAGACCTGTTTACAAAAACAAAAACCAGCACAAGAAAGCCATAGATGGAAGTTATATGGGTTTGTTACCCAGCCCTGCCACACGCAGTGAAATGTAAGAATGTCCAACTTGAAATTCTACTCTACAGAAAGGCAGCAGTGAAAATGCAGTTGGCACAGCCCACCTTCTAAATATTCATAAATGGCTTATGTATTTTATTTTTAAATGAATTCTAATAAGGTAAACTTTAATCTTTAATGTCTTAAAATTTGTAGTAACAACACTTAGGTTAAAATAGTAGAATATTATTATAAAAAATACACAGAATTTTGTTCAGTTTTTTTGTTGTATGAAGGATAATTGTTCTGTCTACCGTACATTTTTGGAGTAATAACAGCTTTTTGCACTATGTAAATACTAGTGGGGAATTCTTCCATAACTAATAAAAATGATTGTAGCAATGTCTGGTCTAGTACTGCAGTGATTTATTTAATTACCAGTTACACAGCTGAATGCTTGTTTTTGTTTGAGCACCATATGCTGAACACCTGATCAAGTGTGAAGATGTGCTGCTGTTTTATTTTCCACGCCTCGGTGCCATTCTGTAGCTTGTCCACGAGGTGGAGATGCCTCTGGGCCGCCTCAGTTTGCCTCCGTGGTAATGAACAACATGCTAACAAGGCATTGTTTCCAAATTCAGAGTTTGCTCCTAGGAGGGTCACTGCCCATTCTCTTTGGTTACCATCACTGAAATGTTTCCAGATAACAAGACCATGTCCTGAAGCCCGCTTTATATCATTAGAGATGTATGTTTTTGTCATTTACAAATTCTATAAAGAGTACTTGAATGAAAACTCAAGAGACTTTTGCACAAAATCTTTGTTGAGTGGAGTTTTCAGCAGAGCTCTTGGCATTCTTTCATACAGTGAATAAAATATAACAGAGGGTTTGTCTACATGAGGAAACTTACTGGCACAGCCATTCTGGTTATAATTATACCACTACAGCTATGCTGATAAATTTCCTGGTATAGACAAACCCTAGCTATGAACAGCATATTTTCAGGCTGAAGTGGTAAAGTTGGCCTTTATTAATGTGCACAAATAACTATAAAAGAGTGTAAATGAGGCAAATACACCAGGCTTTGAGAAGCAGAGGCTGACATTCACTAATGCATCCATTGATCCCATACACATTTCTGATGCAACAGTCACCATGGCATGAAAACAATATTTAGAATGTAGGATTAGAAGAGACTTTATGGGTCATCATATCTAGTCGTCGTCCCCCCGCCCCGTTGCATCGGATAATCCCAGAAAAATGTAGGCTTAGATATGATATGTAAAATGAGTCACTTCTGACAACCTCCCCTAATTTTATTAGTCAATGTCACCATTTTGAAATTGAGCCTGAATGTTGTTTTCAACTTAAAAATTAAAGGGAAAAGCTTACCTAAATATTAGGTGATTTTTGGTACGACTCCATGCTACTGGATAGGGTTTTGTATTTGCTTCTCTTAATTTCTGCTCTGGTCTTTTCGCCTGCATCATTAAATCTACACTCATTCCTTTTGCAAAGGAGCAGGAAAATTGTATGCATCTTTCCAGCTCTCATCGTGACTGTCATTTTTTTACCTCTGCTATAACTGTCATTTACTTATTCATAGCACAACATTATAGATGCAATTTTAGAAAACTTTACTTTTCTACAAAATTTAAAATGCTACTGGAGTCTTGTTGTTGTAATTATTTTATCACTTTTTGGAAGTCTTTTCATTATTAATCATAACTTTAGGTACTGTTACCTCCTGCAGAATCCACTTTGCACTGAAATTTCTCATGGATGTTTTTAACCGGCAGTGAATTTTGAAAAGTCTACAAGAAAAATCTTTAGTGTTAATAATGCAACTACCATGGCTCAAAAAACATTTTAGATTATTTATTTGAAAGCTTTTTTTGTTAAAACCCCGGTTCTCATTGGCCTAGTTCTCAGGCTAAGACTTCCTTATTTTTAGCACATCTTGTTTGAATGCCACATTTGCTTTCATTCAAATGTTATGCCTGGTGTATGACTTTTCCTAATAGTTTTTTTAGCATTGTTCTGAGATTGCAGTCCCAGGTTAGAGCAGCCAACAGAAATATGAAAATGATATTAAAAATATCTGTATGTGCTTTTGCACTTTTAGCTTGGGGCTTGCTAGGTAAGAATCCCAGTGCTTCAAAGAACATCACAAAGCAGTGGCCCAGCACTCCCTGTTGGAACTCTCACTCCAAGAAAGTGGAACTTCTTATTTTAACGTATGAATACTTTAAAATGCGTGATTTCTCTTGACTTTGCACCACACAGGAATGACTGCCTTTAACTTAAGTAGGTAGGGTAGAACCACCCAAAGGGCTTATGGGTGAGCACTTTATATTTGCAAATCAGGCTTCTAGTTCCAGTTCCTTTTTAGGCAATCTGCTGCATTTTTTTTTTTTGTGTATGAGTCTATCTTCAGAAGTTTTAAAAATAACTTCTCATGCATCCACCATCTTGCCTTACTGTTTGCAAAAGTGGCAGAGCTCTGAGAACAGCTAGCTCTGTGCACTTGACGACTCTCACAACATATTGCTTTCAGGACTGATTTCTCAGGTCAGTACTACCTTTGCAGGGAGGGGTTTGGTGTTTTGGTATTAATTCTGTTCTAGGACTAGATGCATGCAGGTACACTTGTAAAGCAAAATAATTCAATGTTAAAAGCAAAGTACCAATACTTGGATAGTGATGTCTGGACACCTCTGAACGCTGTATTCAGGGTTGCTAAGAGCCCTTTCCAGAGATTTCTACCAAAGGGTTAGTGTCATCTTAACTATCAGTGGTCTAGGGACAAAGCTGGGAATTTGCAGTAAGAATTCTTGAACCTGCAGGTCTGTGATGTGTGCAAAAGAGCCCAGTGATTTATATCTCGCTCTAACTGCCCATGGTTAGTTATTCAGTATTCTTTCAAAATGATTTTCAGCCATTGTATAGGCAAATGAGGAAACTATATATAAATTCTGGTACTTCTATGCTATCTCACAACTTCCTCACAAACAAAGTGATATAACAGGTAACCGCTTTCCTCTTTAGTTTAGATTGCTGAAAAGTCAGTTAACTACAAGAAATGCAGCTGTGTACGCCAACTGCCCTGACAACAAAGGGCATTATGCGGACAAAAGAGTATTATGTCATTGATTGTTGTACTGTACCTTGTCCTTTGACACTTGATCGCTTTCCTCAATACAGAAGTCATTGATCCACTTCTTTGTTTGCAAGGCGGATATGTGTGGGTGTCCATCTGGACATTATTTAAAATATTCGGCTCCTCTAACATGGTTAGTCTCCCAGGACTGTACTTTAATAAGCAGAGAGGAGTCTAATAATCATGTAACACTAAAAGCAGACTTGCTTTTATATAAAGACAAATAGAGGAAATAGGGTAACTGCATTTCCTGCAGTTATCTTTAGAAAAGTGCTGTTTGTGCTTGGGTTCCCTTGGAGACCTCTTGGAGGCCATGGTAATCCTGCCGTGCACACAGGCAGAGCTCTCATATTGATAGTATAAAAGCATATTAGCTTCATATGGTACAATCACTTTAATTTTTTATAATGCTTTATTATCCTCCTCTGTACTTGCCTATGTTTTTCTTGCTATCTCAATTACAGCGCACCAGTTAACTGTGCTTGTACTAGCTTTTGGAATTGTATCAGCACAGTCATTCTAAAATGTGCTATTTTGTGTGCGCTCAAAGAAATGAGAGCCCTTCTTTTGGATGGCCCCTTTCCAACAGACTATAGGAAAATGCTTAGAAGCACAAAGCTATTCAAAAATGAATTTAAAAGTGTAAGTAAGGGCGAGAGAGACCAGGGGGATTTTTCAAAGGCATGAGTGAATTGTGTTCCCATCTCCCACTGAGTGGTTTCAACAGGAGGTGAAAGTCTAGCAATTCTTTCTGCATCTATGCATTGCATGCTATTTAAAAAGCTGGAGAAGTGATGATGTAAGGGTGCCAGGGGAAAACTCTATATGGGCAGAGCTGTTTTAAAAAAACAAACAAACAAACAAAAAAACTTGTAAGACTGCAGAACAAGCATGGTAAAAAAATATTTAATACCATGCCAGATGTCTTGCTGATCTCCTGCCGCCTCTAGGTACCTACAGAGCGGTAAACCAACCTCTGACTCACTGATGAAAAGGCATAAGTGCTGACCCACTAAGCACAGGGAGACGAGTACTGTGGGCCAGTCTTCCATACTGAGAACTAAGTCTCCTATACTTAGAAAATCATAAAAAATTAAGGTTGAAGCGACCTCAGGAGGTCATCTAGTCCAACCCCCTGCTTAAAGTAGGACCAGCCCCAGCTATATCATTCCAGCCAAGGCTTTGTCTAGCCAGGTCTTAAAAACCTCCAAGGATGAAGAGTCCCCAACTGCTCTGGGTAACCTATTCCAGTGTTTTACTACTCTCCTAGTGAGAAAATTCTTCTAATATCTAACCTAAACTTCCCTTGCTGCAACTTGAGACCATTGCTCCTTGTTCTGTCATCTGCTACCACTGAGAACAGTCTAGCTCCATCCTCTTTCAAACCCTCCTTCAGGTAGCTGAAGGCTGCTTTTAAATCCCCTCTCTATCTTTGCTTCTCCAGACTAAATAAGCCCAGTTTCCTCAGAAGGTATGTGTCCCAGTCCCCTCACCATTTTTGTTGCCCTCCACTGGCGCCTCTCCAACTTTTTGACATCCGTTCTTAGTGGGGGTGGGGCTGCAAAACTGAGCATAGTACTGCAGGTACTGGTGGCCTCACCAGTGCTGAATATAGGGGAATAATCACTTCCCTTGCCCTGCCGGCAACACTCCTACCAATGCAGTTCAGGATGCCATTATCCTTCTTGGCAACAAGGCCACACTGGGCTCAGATTCAACTTATTGTCCAATGTAACCCCCAGGTGCTTTTCTGCAGAGCTGGTACTTAGCCAATTGGTCCCCAGCCTGTACCAGGACATGGGATTGTTCTGCCCTAAGTGCAGGACTTTGCACTTCTCCTTATTGAACCATATGGCATTTATTTTGTTCTAATCCTCCAATGTGTATAGAACTCTCTGAATCCTAGCCTTACCCTCCAGTATATCTACTACTCCCTCCAGCTGAGGAAGCACTCCATCCCATCTTCCAGGTTGTTGATGGAGATATTGAAGAAAACAGACATAAGAACTGACCCCTGGGACACTCCACTTGATACCACTTGCCAACAAGACACTGAACCATTGATTACTACACTTTGAGCCCACCTATTCAGACCGTTTTCTTTCTACCTTATAGTCCCTTCATCCAACTGATACTTCCTTAGCTTGCTTGTGAGAACGGTGTGGGACACTGTCAAAAGTCTTAGTAAAAGTAAGGTGTGTCACATTCACTAATCTCCCCACATCCACAGAAGCAGTCA